TGGTCAGAAGTGATCTTTCTTGCAGAAGAGCCAGTTCTCTTCTGCAAAAAAACCCTCCTTGAATGGCTGTATGTTCTTTTTGTGTGTGCTGGGAGAAAGGCTTTTCTCCCAGGACAAATGTAACACCTGTCTATAGTCTAACTACACACTATAACATCCAGAGTATGTGCCATGACGCCTCTCTACACATAGTGCATCTGCTTTACTTATTGGTTCATTTCTCATGGTTTCCTCTTCTAACAGTGAAAGCAAGCCATCAAAGGGCAATGACACAATTTACAAATTAAATCAGTATACAAGTCAATATTGAGTAAGCATTTTTGATTATTTTAAAATCTCTTTTGAAAGTGTGTCAAGAGGCAAGTATAATTTCTACAATATTTATGCAGATATTTAAAATGATTACAGAAGCTAATGAATGTAATTCTGTCATTTAGCAGGTTGATTATCCATCATCTATCAGTTGCACTCTAATTTAAGTAACAGGGGCAGAATCTACTAGGATTTATAACAGAGTGCACCACTGAAGTCTTCCACCCAGGTCAGGGGAGAATGTACGGTTAAGCATTTTTCTCTTACAGCCACTTACAGCCATTAAATGCCAGACTCAAGTGACTCTGTATGATTATTCTCAGAGGTGTAAAGTAACTCCAAAAAAGATATAAAGCGGGGATGGGCAAAATGTGGCGCGTGGGCCAGGTGCGGCCCACCAGGCCATTCTATCCAGCCCACAGGGCCCCTAATAAATTTAGAAAATTAATATTTATCTGCCCTGGCTGCCTGTCATGCAGCCCTCGATGGCTTGCCAAAACTCAGTAACTGGCCCTACACCTGAAATAATTGCCCACCCCTGATATAAAGAATCACCATACTGAAACAGTAGGCACTTACAGCCAACAGATGAAATCCTGTCCCAAATTGACAGCTCCATAGATTTCACTGAGGCCTAGATTTTAGCTAGTATGCACATGTTTAAAAGGCTAGAAAAGCAGAAAGCAGGAAAACTTCAGTTCTAGTACATTCTGAATAAATGTTGTTGTAACACCTGAACTTTACATCTTCAGAACGTGACTAACAGACTTATAAAAAATCTTACTCATAACAAACTGATGTGACTTTAAGGCATCATATTCCTGCACAATGCTCAACTGGATCAGAAGAACAAAGAATTTTGCAACCCATAAAAAATCTTCATAATTCTGAAGCCAAAAATAAATCATATTTTCACTATGCACAATACTGAACTACTGATGACATATTCTGTGCCTCAAACTCAAATCCAGAAAAATCCTAAAGCTTTACATTGTATTCATGGAGTTGGGAGTTACAATCTGTTAGTGGAAGTTTCTTCAGTTCAATTCATACAGCATTGTATGAATACTGGTACCTTAGATGAACCTGGTATCAAAAAAGATGATAATAGCTATTTCAAATCTCATTTCTCAGATAAATGAAGTTACCAGATTGGCATCTAAAAAGTGACAGCAAGCTTTCCAAAGAGGAAAAGAGCAAGCCTGGAATAATAAAGAGGCTGTAATGCAATGCAAAGTAAAAGACTCTAATGATATTTAGTTTTGTATGTATTCCTCCATGCAAACTTCTTAGATAAGATTTTTGCAAACATTTTCATAGTGCTAACCTCATCTAAATAGAAAGATCACCACTTGCACCCCTCATTCACAATCATAGAACATCCTTGTGGCAATATGTGTAAATAATAATAATATTGAGGGAGAGAGAGAGAGAGAGAGATTAAACATATGTATAGATTTAACAAAATATTAGAGTGGAAAGAGAGAGGGAAGACCACTTTTATCATGTGACCACCCAGCTCCCTTTGACACACTGATTTCGATTTTCATACTGTGGTCATCAGTGTGATACTTGAACATCTATATTCCAAAATATGTTTTAGACCAGCAGTTTTCAAACTGCAGGGATTGCCCCCCTGGGGGATGTGGAGGAATGCTGGGCAGGGTGCAGCGCAGGGGGGTAACAGCAAGAAGTCTGCAAAGAGCTGGTGCCACTGCAGCCCTGTGGCGGGGATGCAAGGGTGGCGAGCCCCAGGTAGGCTGTGCCAGCAGGCTGCTGTGCCTCCCAGAGCCTGGTGTCGTGGGCATACAGCCTAGAGCTACAGCAGGGCCAAGGCAGGAGGCACTGGAACCACAGTGGGTAGAGCCCAGCTTGCTAAGATGCTAGGATGAAGGGTGCCCTCTGCCTGACTGTGCTGCTCCTCTAGGGTGAGGGGGAGAGGAGGTGCAAACAAAATTGCAACTCAAAGTGGGACTCAGCTCAAAAAGTTTGAAAACCGCTGTTTAAAATATACATAGTTTAATTTTAAAAAGCGGAAGACAGAAATTCTGGCCTGTGCTTTTGGCAAGAGAAAATCATGTTTCTTCAGATTAGATCTGAAAGTTGATATATAAATACTAAGCTAGACAACAGGAGATGCAAAGAGAGGGCACTTGTTCCAACAGTATGAAAAGTCTGTGAGAAACAGCATGGAAAATTTTGCTAGATAGAAGAGAGCAGACAATTCATAGTGAATACTCCTATTTGATGCATTTTGGGTGCATTCCTCCAGCACTTGCACATGATGAACAATAAAGATAGATTAACATTAAAAATAATACAAGTGTCTTACGCACAACTGTAGTTGCATTAAACTTCTCTCTGAGTGGCATTAATAATGTATATGAAATTATTTACATGTGTAAGTATTGTAGAATTGGTGCCTTAGGCTCCTTTCCTGTTTGAGAATCATTCTTAAGTAGCTTGCCATTTTCTTGTGTGGAGCTTTATTTTTAGTATTCAGAATTATTTGACAGATACTTTTTAAAAAACCTGGCCATTAGATAATTTGTGAGAGAACTCCTGTACTTCCTCTATATACAAAACTAAATATCAGTCTGTTCTTTATTTTGAAATTGGACAGCTAGACATCATGGATAATGCTATAGTTCCCTGATTGAATAAAGGTAATTCTCAGAATCCAGATTTTTCTATGTAAATAATTATGCCAAAATCCAGAGCTCACTTTCCATAAACATTTTCCAACACTTGTTTTAAGCAAATTCATTTACTGAATGTTTTTAGGAAGAGGATACACAATAGATATGCATAAAATCAAAGTAAATTCAGTGTTTGCAGTTTTTTTGTGAGAGAGGGGTAATGCGCGAGTGTGTTTCTTTATGTGTTATCAAGGGAAAAAACAGAATTCTCCTCATTTTTGTAATCTAAAATGCTGAGATTTAGCAAGCTTTTAAAAAGCAGAATGTTGCAATAGTGCAGCTGAGAATAGGCAAAGGTTTGAACCATGACTTCATCAGGGTGAAATCAGAACCATTTCCTAAACAAGCAATGTTGTTGGTGCGTTTGATTTACAAAGCTATGAAGGGAAGGGAAGTTCAGGCCAAAGACACACTGCCAGTGTAATAGGCAGGAAAGGTATTTGGAGTGTCAGAAATAGAAAAGTGCTATCAATTAATTCTGTTCTTCTTACTCAAATTTCAGTCAGGCAAACTCCTGTTGATTTTCATGAGACTAGAAATGGGATTAATGGATCAAGTAAAGCTTTGGAAATTGGAAAACAAGTGTGAGTGTTTGGGTGTGTCTTATCAGCAGTGCATTCTGCTTCTACCAAGCATTTATGTTTTTAACTCATCAGTGTTCTGGGCCACCAAGCATAGATTTTCACCAAATGTCTTTCTTCTCAGATTCCGAGCTGGTTTCAAGAGAGCATTTCGTTGGTGCCCGTTTATTGAAGTTTCTAGCTATGATGAGCTGGAGCTCAAGGTAGCCAGGTTTCATCCCACCAGACAAAGTAGTTTGTATACTGTTTCAAGAATGGAGTCTAGCATGACGGTAGTGTTTGACCCAAATGATGGAGATAATTCCAAGTCTACCCGAAAGAAAAGAGCTGCTTTACGGGACACAAGTTTCAATGGCTGTTCACAAGGAAATTCTAAAACCATGTCTACAACCTCCAGTTTCATCAGCTCACCCTACACATCGGTGGATGAATATTCCTAAGGACCCCAATAACTTTGCAACAGTTGTGAACAGGGCAGTGTTGTGCATGAAAGACAATGTTGTTCCACCTTAGAACCAAATAGTCAAGCTACAGGAAGGCAGTCATGATCCCAGTGGTAAACCTAACTGTAAATATCATAAGAATTATTGGCCAGGCTTACATTTGTGCTTTGGGAGAAATAGAGAAACTCTAAAGACATCTGTTTACATCAGTCTGACAACACAGTGGCACTTTGTACGTAAAACTGCTTAAGTATTATTTGAAACAAATTAACAACATAAATTTATTGTTCTTGTTGACCTGTAATGACCTGCTGATAGTCACATTTCACTGATCAAGATGTAACAAAGCAGCTTCAACATATTACAGTACAAAATATTCTGGATTTTTATGTTGTTCATTTACAGAAGGGAAGTTACATTATACTGGGTATAACATGTCCTTCTCAATCTAGTCATAATTAACCCCAAATCCTGTTCTCCATTACACAAAAGTCCGAACCCATTCCTGATTTTCCTCCTCAGGATGTTATCCTGCTGCATTCAATATGAAGTTCAGTCCTGTTCAGAGAGTGATCTATACCATGCTTAAGTCCTGCTTAAGCTCTAGCTTTTAGGGTTTGAGTCAATTTTAACTGGGGTATAGATTTTGTGCTCACTCCTGCATATAAATTAATCCCACTTTGGATGAGAAAACTGAGCCTTATTTCCCCTACAGTTCTCTTCTCTCTTAAGAGGACTACTGGCTTCAAAATGAAGATCACTTAACATAATCTGTATAAAAGATCTTCATTAAATGTGAATTTATGTGATTCTGCTGAAGAGATCTCTCTTCAGTATGACAGTATTTAAAAATGCCTTAACAGAAGAAATAGGTATTATTTCATAGGGATTATGTGGCATTAACTTTGTCACTGAATAATTTGTATGTATAAATAAATTCAGACAAGTGAAACTCATGGTCAATTACCCATTTTCTTGCAGAAGCAAGATAGTGCAAATCCTCTTTCTCCAGATACAAACCTGCTCTTTTTAGAAGTGGCTTGAGCATTGGTGATGCATACAGGAAGCACAGTGGGGGGAGCACGTGCCCCCCTTCCCCCCCCAAATTGGCTCCTGGAAGTGAGGGCACCGGGAGAAGCACCAATGGGCCCCCCCTGCAGCAAGAGAAATGCCAATGTGCCCCCTTTGTGCTAAGAGAAGCGCCGGTGGCAAAACCAGAAGTGTTGGTGGAAGTGTCACTGGCACTTCCAGTTTCACTGCTGGTGGTTCTGGGATCAACGATTGGCCACTGGG